TTTGTATATATATATATATATATTTTTTGAAATATCTACTATTCTCTATAAAAAAAAATATTATTAATTTGGATAATTCAGTTAATTTGATTAATCAAAATTTAACTAAACCAACAAAATTTGAATAGGAAATTTAAAATTATTCTTATGAACAATCTTTGCAAGGATCTGAAGAAGGAATTGTTTTCTATTTTCAGTACATTTTATTCTTTTTTTTTTTTTAATTAGGGAAGAGGTTCAGGGAAGGAATCAAACTTTTGTCATGATAAAGAAGATTTATAGTAAGTTACTAGACAACTAGATCGGTAGGTCTTTTTTTACATTTTATTCCTTTTATAACTCAAATATCAATACTAAATCAGCCAAATTGATGGCAGAAAAAAATTTAACCAGATTTAATCGTTGCCTAAAAAAAACAAATTTAATCAAAATTTCAATTAGGGGCACCTGATCTGGTTAAGCATTCTATCTAGGGATCACACGTGGCGACGTCACAACCTTCACTTGAGCTCACCAGCTTGAGTCAAACCGCCGTTTGCTCAAGAGCAATGAACAGGCAGAGTGCGAACTTCATCTTTCTCCCTCAAAATCTCTTCACAAAATGAGCTTATCGTCGCCAACCAGGTAAGTTTTTCATCAGTTTCCAAATACCCATAATTTTTTACCCACAAATTTCGATTCTTTTGTTGGAAAATTTCTTCTCATTGAGCTCCAATTCGCACTTTATATAACCAGTTGTTTTACTCCATGCATGCAGTTTCTTAAGACTCAAATCCCGGAGCTTGAATCTTCATTTGTACTCTAATAATGGTAGCTTCAATGGAGCTTTTGTGCTGTTTCCTAAAAGAGCGAGCTTTAATTGCAAGAAATTTTCTGTATCCTGCTCTTCTTCCATCTTCTCCTGGTAATATTTACAAATTAATCTCATGAAGATTTTTTCTTCCATTTTTTGTTTAGTTTAAGTAATTGCGTTTTGTTAAATGAATCTGATAATAGGGTGTTTTTTGTTTCTTCTTTCTGGTTTTGGTCGATTTTGTTTGTTGTTTATGTGGTTACTGTAATTTTTTAGTTCTCAAATTAAAGAGTCATTTGATTTCTTTGACTCATTAAAGGAACCTAGTGAGGAAAAGACCGAGAGTGAGTCTCTTATTTGGTGCTTGGTGAATTGTGTTGTATAGTTTGGCAATGATGATACATGTAGAAGGGATTTAATTTGGAAGTGAATGCTTTAGTGGGAAACTGAATTCTGTGATTTGTGGTCACTTGAAATTATTCTGTCATGTTACGAAAGATTGTTGACATGAGACAAGCAATCCTATGTTGAACAATTGAAAACCCCACCAACAAGAGCTTAGCAGAGTTTGTACCACTAATTACAAAGCTTTGATTTTGAGTCAAGTTTAGGGGTTAAACCTATGCGATACTAACTGCTAAGGGGCTAACATCCAATGTGCCATAAAATATTGAAAATCCAAATGGGTGAAAGGTGGGCCAGAATCAAGTTTTGCAGGTTGAAATAGGTTTGGTTTATGTTAAACTTTTGTGTTTCTAGTAATGTTTAAAGCATCAATGGTGCCTTGTTTAGGAATGAAAATTGTTTGCAAACCCTAACATCGAATTGCCTAATATTTTAGGTTGAATGTCTTCTCCGAGTCACAATTTGCAAAAGCTGCATTTGTTTATCACTTCAATGACTTTGAAGGATCACAATTTATTCTTAATGTGATGGGTTAGATTATTGATCTTATGGTCTTTGATGGTTTTGTTTAGAAGAAAAGTTGAATAAAAAGCCTATCATTGGAAGAGGGTTACATATTCTCTTTATTGTCATTTGTATGGTATTCAGACCCACTGTTAGTTAAGGCTGCAAGAGGGGAACCCATAATTCAGCCTCCAGCATGGATGATGCACCAAGCAGGAAGGTATATGGCTGTTTACAGAAAGCTTGCAGAGAAGTACCCATCCTTCGGAGAAAGGTCAGAGACAACTGATCTTATTGTGAAAAATTCTTTGCAGCCTTGGGAAGCCTTCTCTCCGGATGGAGTAATAATTTTTTTGGACATACTTACACCGCTTCCTGCTTTTGGTGTCCCGTTTGACATTGAACAAGTGAGAGGCCCTGTCATTCAGATACCTATTATTTCAGAGGAGTGCTTGAAGGCATTGCATCCAATTGACCTGGAAAACTTCATTTCATTGGGGAGTCCCTAAAGATTTTAAGTGGCACCATTACAGCCAACATGCTTTCAAAACTTGTAGACCTTTGGGATCTGGATCTTTCCAATAATAGTTTGCTGTCTTTGAGCATTAATGGCACTGGTGTCAACTATTCCTTTCTGAAACTTTTGTCTTTAAGATTCTCTTCTTGCAACATTCACAAGTTCCCAAGTTTTTTAAGGAAGGCAGAGAGTTTGCTAATATTGGATATTTCCAAGAACAAGGTTTCTGGTCAAATTCACAAATGGGAAATAGAAGGGATGTCATTGTTCAGATTAAACCTTTCTTATAACTTCTTGCAGTTGGCTTTCTTTCTTCCTTCAAGAAGATCTAACAAAATAATGTGTGCATGAACTTAATTAGTTGGCAGCAGAAGCTGCAGGCAGTTGCCCTTTCTTTCTGTGATTGTTATGTCTTTTTATGTGAATTATTATTTCATGTTCAATGTTTGTTGAAAATTTTGACTAAAAACATAATGTTTTTTTATTTTATCACTTTTCTAAGTTATCTTCCATTCCTCTCCTATTAACGGTGCGTTTTAATGAAATAAATGATTTTTTTTTTTTTAATTTTAATATGTGGACTGCACAGTGCACACGTTATCTTCTTTCTTTTACTGTCCTTCTCTCTGAGAGTTGAAATTGAAATTCCAGTCAATGCCAAGATGGACGCATCCGACGGATGTGAGTTGCAATTGCATAGCCTGCAAGGGGCTCAGCGACGTCAGATCTGGTCGGGAAGGCTGACGGACGACACCACTGTCCTTTGCGCTCTGGACACCCGCTCTTTTGTCTTGACAGCGCCAACTGAAATCTTTTTCTCGTCCTTGGGTGGTCTGATCGACTGATCCTGATGAACGCAGGGTTAAGATTTGACCCGACCTGTCTTCAAGTTGCTTGTTTTTGATGAAATTAGGGTAGTGGCTGTCAGGCACAGAGAAAGGGTAGCTGTCGGTTTAATCTTTGTCGGCTGATCTGATTCATAGACAGGTAAGAAGCGGTAAATTTTATTTTTATTTTTATGTTTTGTGTGTGTTCTCATTTTTGCTTTTGGATTTTAAACTCTTGTATCATGCTGTCATTACTCATTAGGATTACTGTGTAATGTTGTGACAATGAATTTTTTATATTATCACAAAATAGAAAATTATTATACAGTATGTACTGTATTAAGTTGTATAATTAAAATAGTTAGATAATAAGTTGGTCCTTGATTTTAGGGGCTTATCATCTTTAATGGTGGGTCATCTTTTGCAGTTTGGTATTGAACTGCAAGATATGATTCTCTATCACAAAAACTGTGTTAAAATGTGATTATTTTTTTGAAAAAATTGTGTGTATATATAAAATTACTAAAAATATAATAAAAAATATTAATTTAAAGTAAAAGCAATTCTGAATGCAGGCTTAGTGGGTGATTAAGTGTTGGATAAATTGATGACTTTTATTAATTACTTAGCTGGACGGTATATTGTGTTTGTAAGCACAGAAATCATATGAATTTTTTTCTGCTTGCTAAGATTGAAATAAAATGTTTGTTCCCAATGAAATTAGAATCTCTGAAACAAAATATGTACATTAGCATTTACATTTTGTACGTTTCTGAGTTGTATATACTGAAGGATGGTATTAATGAGCTTATATATCAGAGTCTTATTCATAAACTTTTATTTAAACTCTGAATTGTATATACTGTATTAATATATATATATATATATATTTGCTTATTTATGGTATTTTCTACAAGCATCCTACAATTAAGAGTCCATGAAAGGTGGAACTAAAGATGACCCAAAGACACATCCTCAGAGGAGGTTTCTCTTATCATGGCTGAAGTAATTGGATCATTATGTATCTGCTTGGTTCTTATTTTTCCTTCTCCTATTCAAGGTGAACTTTTTAATCCCCATCTTTGTGATTATATTTGTATCAGTTTAAAACAAACTACCTCTGATATTTTGCATCATCATGTTAACTGTGTTCAGAGGACACTCCAAGACAATGAAGAGAAAGAAATCCGAAGAAAATAAAGGTGTGCTGATGGTTATCCTTTTCTCCTTGCTTCTTTTTTAAGGGGAATTTTTGTTTTCTCTTTTTAATCCTCTCCTCTTTTCCAATATTACTCATCAATGTTATTTTTCTTGTGTAAAGGATATTTCTTTGAGTTTCCAATATCCATTTTCCTGAGAAGGAAATCTTATTGCTCTTAATTTTCTGTGTTTATTCTTAGTTGTCGACACCTAATGAGAAAGCTGAGTTTGAAAGAGGCCTTTCAGTGTCTAATATTTGGAAAGTATAAGGTATGATGCATGCATGTTGCACTAATGTATTCTGTGCATTAGCATAGTCAAATGAGATTCTTTTCTTGTAACATTCAAAGAATTTGCTCTCTTTATCTGTTTTTGATGCTGCATTGCTACCAAAATGGAAAGCATTCCAGACAATGACATACCTTGAGAGGGTGAGTTTCCAGTTTTATAGGATTAAAATGAAAAGTAAAAATGATCAGCTTGACTGCTTCCCTAATATTGGAAAGACATTGTTTTTAATAACTGCTCTAGCATATTTTGATTTTTCTTGATTAGCCATTATTCTTTGGGTAATTAGCATTATCTGCATTATTTGTTCTTATTTGGTGGTATATAAATGATTGCAATAGTGCCCCCAAACTTTTCATAGATGTGAAATTGAGTTTTGGCCCCTGAAATTTTATATGGTTCAGTGTAGTCTTAAAATTTATTCTGGTTCCATTGATTCTAACTTTGGATTAAAACCCTAGTTTTCAATGTATTTCTTTTCAGAACTTGGAAAAATAGTGTTTCCCTCTTCAGCTTTTCCTACTCAACAATTTTCAAGGTTTGCTTTTATTCTATTGTTATTGGTTTCTATTAGGGCCTCCGATTGGTTTAAATTTTTTTTTTTTTAGTTTTTAATTTTTAATTTATTTGTACACCTAAGCACCAACAAGTAATTTAATTGATGTTACAGTTTTAATTCATAATAATTGGGCTCAGTGACACCAAAACAGAAGTATAAGGAATTCATTAAAATAAGAAAGTGGATGGAATCGCATATTCCATACAAGTTTGAGGGCCATGTTTGGCAGTATGACCATCTGATCTGATGTTCTTGCCTTAAGTTTTCCAACATACACTTGGTGGCTTGGAGTACTTGAGACATTCTTCTATTGATTAGTTTGATCGTTTTGCAGGATGATGCTCTCCAAGATTCAGAGAAATTGCAGCATTTGATTTTTTGATGGTTGTCTGGCTAAAACATCTGTTAAAAGGTATGTTAACTGATGTTTGTCAATCACCATTGTATGAAAATGTATAGTTCTGACATGCATTGCTGGCTGCCCACTAGATGAATGAACAAGGAAGTTCACAATTTCTCTCTTGATGGATTAACTTTACATCTCTGTGTTTTTCTGTTAAGTCCTTACATCTCTGATGATATCACAGGTATTAATCTATTATGCCAATGCTTGAATTGAAGGGTTAATCTGAAGTTCTTAGGTAAGTGGACTACAATGCAGTACATTGGTTGTAATTTTAAGTTTTTAACAAAAATTGAATTGAAGGTGGGATGTTTGATTTGATGGTTAAAAAATTCCTTAGCATGATAATTTAGCTTAGTAATTCATCAAGATGGAAAACCTAAAGATGAGGTTAGCAGTAATATTGGTAGTTTCCCAGAGATATATGTAATTCTAAGTTTTCCACCAAGTTGTAAGGGAAGTTTCTGTAAATTAGTTATAAAACCAACTATAGTTTAGGGAACTGAGTAGTAAGAGAGCTTAATCACTGGATGACTTAGCTGAAATCAGAATGTTTAGATTAATATTTGGTCATAAAAGAGAAGGTAAGGTAAAAAGTGAAGATAATCTTTAGAACGTTGGGTGGTGGGGTACAAATAGTTAAGTAGAACAAGGGAGAAGAATAATGATTTGACCTTGTGGAACTTAGACCTGGTTCATGAGATGGATAGAAAAAATTAAAACGATGTAGTAATTGGCCAAAGATTATATGAATTGTAGTACCCAAGGACTTTATCTTTTTTAGATTTTTTTTCTTGTGAGAACAGGTTTTATGATCAAATGGAGTAAACAGGAAAAAAAAAATTCAAGTAAACAACCCCTAAAAGATAAAAGGGCTTAGTCGGGTTCACTGTAAATTATGAGCATGACCTGCCAATGACATTTTTCTTATTTTGTTAGTTTGTTACTTGAGATTAATGCAAATAAATGTTGACACAGTCTACCGTCTTCAGTGAAATGTTTATGGACTTGCTCTTGGAAATGATTTAGCAAGTTAAAATTAAATTAATGAAATTAATCTACTTTTGAGATTTGATTCTACTAACTCTATACCAAATGGCTAAGTCTAAAAAGAAACCTATATTCTATCTGAAATTCAATTTTACTAATTTTTTCCCAATATTTAACTCCTCAAGCACCTCCAAATTTTGAGTTATATTTATTATTTTATCCCTTTTTGCCTTCTCTAATAGGTTTTCAAGAGGTTTTAATTATTGGGAAAAAGTGTCAAGATACAATAAGCAGTAAATTAGCTGGTATTACACATCATTACCACAGACACTGCAGACTCTATATAATGATGGATAGAAGCTGGTTTTTGTTTCTTTTCCTTCCGAATGTCCCACTTTATTTTCTGAGTTTTCATTCACCTGCCCTTACTTATTGACTATTCTTTTTAACCGGAAATTGAAACTCAGTTTCTACCATTAGCAGTTAATCTTTACCAATGAGTAGAGTACAATATTGAACGCTGGAAGAATAAGTAAACAGATAACCGTGCACTCCAAAACTGGACGTCTCAACAATTTCATCAATTGAAGGTCCCAATCCAGGTTATTTCATTTGCATTTCTCTGACTAATGACAATCTCCATGTGGTTTCTCTACTTTTTAACATAAGAACAATGATATGGCAAAACTTATCTTTTCCTGCATTGTGGATCCATTATGTTGGTGATGCTGTGGCGAGACCAAATGATCAGTGATGCCAATATAAAATTTGCAGAGGTATGTTTCAAAAATCTGTTTTAAATCATTATTTTTATTTGTCGTATATTCTTTAAATTTTTATTTTTCTATTTGATAAGATGGCTTCCCTTTCATTATTGTGTCAAGACTGTAATACAAAATGGTCCATCTTAGCCATTACGCTGATTTGCCTTATAAAAGCTATATAGTGATTAACACAACTTATTAGAGTACATTCAATTTCTTTTTCTTGTTCAATTGGATGGAATGACTATTCCTTGTTCAATATGTGAAAATAAGGCGAAATAAAGAAGGGTATTTCAAAGTCTAGAAGATAAGAATACGGTTGGATATTTTCTTATAAATTTGTGAATGAGATAGGAATTATTAAAACATGTGGAGAAGGTAGTAATAATGGCTATTCCTATCACACTCCAAAATCTAAAAAGGAAAATGAGCAACATTTCCTAGCTTTTTCCGGGAGTGTTAAGCACTTCATTTTATCTTGTTTCATTCATTGACCAACAAATAGTAATTTCATTGAACCAAACATAGCCTAAAGTTCCTTAGGCACCCATTGGTTGAAATTGTGCCATGTTTTATTGTAGACATCATTGATAGGTACCTTAAGACTCTAATGGGGGGTTAGTATTGAACTATGCTGAACTGTAGGCAGATACCTTAATACTCTCAATAAATGCGGTTAGGATTAGTCATTGAGTCTACAATGAAGTGTTGCTCAAGGAAAGATGGTGCGTCAATCCTCATTAAGTAGTTTTTTGGCATAGAGAACTGCATTAAACAATAGAGTCGTCCAGATGGCAAACTGAATCTAATTGCCAAAGTAATCATATCTAACATAGAATTCGTTACAGGATATTTTAGTGATGTGAAAAGTGCTTCAAGTAGTTGGATATGCTCCGGACTTGATTTGTTGTTATGTCAACCTACTTTAGTAGTACATCATGCAAAAAATTTACTAAATTCTAATTAGTACTTCGATCCAGGTACCTATTTTCTTTCACTGACATAACTTTCCTATGGTTGCAGGCAGTAGGATTGAAATTTTATGTTCCCGGAGAATATTTTAGTGCGTAGAGTTGTTACAAGTTGCAATTCCTAGTGCATAATATATCATATGTGTGTCACTTACCTTTTCTTAGACAATGCTTTTTATCATTCTCCCATATTGATCCTTCCTGGGCAATTAAGGAAATTCTTAATTAGTCCAAAATTCAAGCAAATAAATGCACTAAAACATTCTAAAGGAGGAAAAGCAAATGATAGAAAAGGAAATAAAATTATTATAATTATAATGCCATGTTACATTATAAATTTATAAGTTTATAGATGTATCATTATATAATTGGTTGTTTTAATTTAAAAATTTATCTATGATATTATATGTATTTATTTGTTTAATGTCACTACATCATATTTATTTAATGTCATGTCATGATTATAAAGTTGGACTTATACAAGTCATTATAACTATAGCATTGTTGGAAAGGAAAGGAGAAAATCCTACTTGTTCTTGAAAAGAATAATGATAAATGGTAGACATTATAAGTTTATAAGTTTATAGATATCATTATATAACTGGCTCTTTTAATTTAGGAATTTACTTGTGATATTATACATATCTATTTGTTTAAAATCTATTAATGGCATGGTAATGGCATGGTAGGACAATAGAGAAGATACACTTCACAAGTTATGATTTGGGCAATGAAAAGGGCTGAACGAAAAACAATTCATTAAAAAAATAAAGTCAAGAGTTCTTACGCTATTTGATTTAGCTATTTCAACAAAATTCACAATTAATAGTTGATATGTGATAATTAATAGTTGTTTATAATCCAGTCTTTTGTAGAAACCATAATTAACAAGAACTAACATGAGAAACCTTTAATGAATGTGATGGAAAGAGAATCTTATGACTTATAAACATTTTATTGGTTAGAATACTATTGATGTAGTATTCCATTATTGTAATGAAGAATTTTTCAACTGGAAGACGTGGAATAAGTTAAGGTTTTTGGAGTATTGGATTATATATTAATGTGTGGAAAGTGTAGAGGAAAGTTTTGTGTGAAACTATAATTAACGTATAGAAAGTGTAGAGAAGAAAGTGAAACATTAATTGCTCTAATACTTGATGAAAAGGAATAAAAGTGATAAAAGTGATGAGCTAAATTTATATACATATTAATAGGGAATTTTTACTTTGATATTATTGATATTTGGATGAGTTTTATGAAATTTTGTTTGATTTTACATGATTTTCATTCTTTGTGTAGGAAATGATTTAATTGGAAGAAATCTTATTTTTTAGAAGTAAATTGAAGAGATCAGAGACTTGAGGATCAACTTGTGCAGAATCCAGAAGTTAAGAACCAAATCTGCTATTTTACCATTGAAGAAATCGCAAAAGTGGACAAAAACCCGACACGGGTGTAGTGTCGACACATGATCGGGGTGTCGACACCATGCGCTAAACGTCCAGAATCAGATTCTGTTTTCTATTTTGTGTCAACACGTAATCTGAAGTGTCAGCACCACGCGATCAGTATCTAAAATTTAGTTTTCTATTTCTATTTCAAGTCCTACTTCTATTTCAATTAAGGTTTTTAAAATCCTATAAATACCCATTCAAATTCAGAATGAAGAGCTCTGGGAGACTTATGGCAGTTCTCTTTTGGGTACTCTTGGAGGTCAAAATAGAGGATCCATCGACAAGAAGATCAAAGATTTCAATTACTTCAAGTTAGGTTTTGTTTTTCCTTAGATATTCTTATATTCATAATTGTGATTTCAGATTTTATTATTTTTATTATGAATTGATTTATTCTACTAGGGTTACGATGTAGCCTAATTAATTCAATATGAATTTTGTGATTTTATTCTTTCAATTAAAGTTATTCGCGTGAGGAGTTTATATTATTGAACTTAATGCATTGGAAGTCTGATCATTTTTCAATTGATTTAGTGATTTATGCATAAACTTGAGAAAGAATTGCGTAAATTAGACTAATAATAATATAAATTGTGTGCTAGACTATGAGATCGAGAGGTAATTCACATGTGGTAGTGGAGGGAGAGAAGAGAGTTAGTAGCTCCTCTTTCTTAAACTAGAGGTTTTCATAAAATTTAATACTCATTAGTTTGTTTAAAATTACATAGAGATATGATTAATTTAACAAATCAGTGAATGATTAATTTGACTTGAGAAAGCTAGTTAATTAATTTAAGAAAATCCGTCATCACATGCAATAACATTTAACAATTTGATAATTCAGAATTTATATTGATTGATTATGGTGAAGTCAATGCCTTAGTACCTCATATCTTGGTTAGGTTTAATTTAATTGTTATTTTCTTTTTATTATCTTTTTAGTTAAACTTTCTTCCCATTTGGTTGTTCAAATAAATTTGGATTAATTATTTTGGTACTTAGTTAGACACAATTCTCGTAGGTTCGACACTCTTCTCATCATTATATTACTTGGAGCGACTAGTACACTTGTTAAGGTGATTTTAGTGCATCAAGTTTTTGGCGCCATTGCCAAGGATTGTTGATTTAATTAATATCAGAGTTGGTTAATTCTAGATTTAATTTGAGCGTTTTTTTTTTATTTCTTTACTTTGCTTTTTCTTTTTTCTGTTTTCTTTGTTTTTATTTTGGTTTAAGTACCATTTTAGTCCCTCAACTTTTCACTTTGGTACCAAAATTATCTCTCAGCTTTAAAAAGTACCAAAATTATCCTAAACTTTCATTTTTGGTACCAAAATGGTATTTCTATCAGTTAAATGACAGGTGTCACGTTAAAATGCCAACAAATCACATTTTTATAAAAATAATAATTACGTGGAATAACACACCATGCAAAAGGTGATGAGATGGCTTTTTTTTTTTCCATGTGTTTTTTTTTCTATTTAAATAAAAATCCACATCATTTATTATTGCATTATTCTTCTTCTTCTTCCTCCCTTCTTCTCTCTCATCCCACCGCCCCTTCCTCTTCCCCAGCCTTCTTCCTCCTCTTCCCCCTTCCTCCTACCTTTTTCTTCTTCTTTCTCTCCCCCCTTTCTTCTTCCTCCACTTTTTCCTTCCAGATCTGTGTGGGTTCTCCCTTGGTAACTCAAATTAGAGGTACCCATGAATATTTGGATCTATGGTGAATCGACCTTGGCGGTGACCTCCACGTCACTAACCTTGGGTTTGATTTATTCGGCTTCAACTTCTTAACTTCTTCTGCATTTTCGTTCTCCTTCGAATCTTTAAGACTGCCATCCTCATCCTTGTCATCATCACCACTTGAACTGCATCTCCCACATTTGCATTCGGCTTGGGCTTCCGCTGCCTCTTGGCGTAGGTGACCTTTTGCCAGCCATGGTCAATGGTGTGGGTGTTGGTTTCGTGGGTTTTGTTGAGGTGTAGTAGTGTGGCGGTGATAGCAAAATTAGAAGTCTGAGATGGGAGAAAGGTTGAATGGCGGAGAGGATGAAGGTTTGTGCCAATAAGGAAAAATGGGTTTGGTGATGATGAATTTGTAGAGGGGCGAAAGAGTAGTTTGATGAAGAGAGTTTGACAATTGGTAGGTAAAAATGTCGAGACGGACCCAGATCTGGGTTTGAGAGGGAGAAGGGAGAAGAGAGAGAGAGAAAGAATAAGAAGAAAGAAAAAGGATGAGCAGGGAAAGGAAGGAAGGTTGATAGAGAATGAGGAGGCAAAACTATCGAGGAGGAAAAGAGGAAGAAGATGAAGTTTGTGAGAGAAAACCCAGATCTGTAATTGGAAAACAACCTTTTGCTTTATGCAAACACCTCGTCCATGAATCCTTGGCTGATTCCATGATTTACTACGTAGAAAAATCCACAATTCAAACACACTTAAACCAAACTAAATAGAAACACAAATTCAAAATTCCAGAAAGAAAAAAAAAAAAGGTTAAAGCTGAAAGATTTTCCACCATAATCACAACAAATATAGCAGGTATTGAAAATAACTACAAATTTTCAACACATCTTTAATGTATTATGACCCAAACCAGACTCGATGATGCTAAGCTTCGAGCTTTAGGGTTTGCAGAGGCAAGGGAAAAAGAAAGGTAAAGGAGAGAGAAAGTGAAAGAAGAAGAAGAGATGACGTGGATGGAAAAAAAAGACATAAAAAATTTTAAATTAAATAAAAATGCCAACTCATTAAAAAAGATAGCCAACTGTGTTTTTTTTTTCCATGTCATTAGTCAAGCAAAAAAAAGAAATGATTTTGTGGCATTTTAACGTGCCACCTGTCATTTAACTGACGAAAGGACCATTTTAATACCAAAAATGAAAGTTTGAGAATAATTTTGGTATCAAAGTGAAAAGTTGAGGGACCAAAATGGTACTTAAACCTTTTATTTTTACAGGTCTAACTATGAATTGAGTAGCCATAGGTACTTATGTGAGTTATCATTGGCTTGCGCCAGAGATAAGAGCACAAGTTGAAGCAATAACTATCAATTGGGATGCAGAACTTGACAATGATGAACTTGAACAACTTCAAGCAGCCATTGAAAGGATCGAATTAAGGAAAGCTCGAATAGAATGATCAAATATCACTTGTGAATGGTGTGGATTAAACCATTTTAGTTCTGATTGCTTATTTAAACGATATAACAAGTGTGTTGATTTTTCTTGTGAGTTTTATAGTCAGCAGTATAATTTTTATCCCAATACATGCCAGTTTGATCCAAACACCTCATGGAATAATGAAGATATATTGGACCACAATCAAGGTTTCAAGCTCCAGAAGAGGAGACATGTTTGAATAAAAATCTGGAGGTCCAATCAAGTAATTTGCTCAACTTAGTTGCTGAAGAGATACAAGGTGAGTTACCTAGTGCAACAATGAAAAATCAAGAAGAAGAGGTAAACACCTTACCCTTAGAGATTGAAGGACAACTTGGAGAAGTAGAAATTATGCCTGCAAAAACTAAACAAGAGGATGTCCCTATGGAGGAAGAGGAAAAAGCTCAGGTGTCATTTGAAGTGTTCAATGGGGAGTCTTCTTTAACCAAATCTGATTTTAATGATTATTTTGTTATTGATATGGTTGATGAGATTTTGCAGAAAAACACTTATGAGTATTCATTTGAGATTTACCTTATTCAAGCAAAAGACTCAATCAAAGAATACATAAATTGCTTGAACACATCATCTTCCTTGGAATCAAAGGGGGCACTCCTAGAAGAATTGGGAAGGCACATTTGCTGGCCTAAACCCAAACCACCTCAAAATAATCATTGGAGAAAATCTTATGGTGGATTCAACTTAAGGGCAAAAAAGCCAAGATTCAAGAAAACGAGAGGACATGCCCTACGACCTGATCCAAAACCACCTTGGAGTGGTAGAAAGTCTAGCTAATGACTATAAATTAAGCGCTTCTTGTGAGGCAACCCAAGCATAAAATTTTTCTTTTCTTTAATTTATTTTTCTTTTATAGTTCAGATTTTCTTTTAATTTTTTTTTTCTTTTTCTCTTTATGGCCTAGGTTGACGCACAATTGTGGAGAAATTCACATCTCACAAAAAGGTGAATTTATTTGATTAGTTGAGTATTTTAGCTTATAAATTGTTATTCTTTGATTTTGGCCAGGTCATTGAACAAGTTTGGGGGACAAGATTACGGAAATTCATATGTTAGAAGTCTCCTCTAAATGAAGGCAACTCAACTTCAAAACTTCAATTTTAAGTTTTCAAGTGCAAAACCTGGGAAGTTTCTCTTTTCTCTTACTTTTATTTTACATTGAGGACAATGTTTGATTTAAGTTTGGGGAAGAGATACACTTTTAGGCATCCATTAGTTGCATTCATATTTGTATAACATACATTTTTTTAAAAAAAATTAGGATATTTTTTTTTAGGAGTTGGTTCAATTAGTGTCAAGGAATTGAATATTCTTGAGTTAGAGCTTTTAAAATCTTTTAATCTTAGAGGAGATACAAATCTGAAAAATAACACCATTGTGATAAAGTTTAAGTTCATGAGTATTATATTCTACTTGAGCACAAGTTTATAGTGAGAAGTTTAGAGAGAAGACTTAGTAGCATCTAAATAGCACATAAAAAGAAAAGAAAAAAAAAAAGCCAATACAAAAGAGTTTATTAATTCCTACTTCAATGTTTTTTGTTGTTTAGTAATTGGGGGTTAGGCATGAGACCCATGTCAATTTTCACGTCAAACGGCGACTTGAAATATGAGTATGCAAAGCACTTTGAGTTTATGACTTGTTGAGTAACCGGGTCCTTTCATCACAAATGTTAGTATTCGCATCAAAAAACAAGTGATGGCTTAGGGAAGAATGTGTTGTATGGCTAAAAAAAAAAAAGAAAGTGGGAGAAAATAATAATAAAAATAATAATAAGTGTTAAGGTGTGAAGGTCTAAACTTGAGACTTCTTACTATGAATTTCCACACACACACTAAGTGCTCATGGGCTAAATCTTTTAACAAGTGGTGTGAACAATAAGATGGAGTATTTAACTCTAAGTGAGTATATGAAAACTCTTGAATATTTGAGACTTTGTATCTAATTGAACTTTAATTCCTAAATTTTCTTTGCATGCATATCATGTAGTTACATTCTTGCATTGGGATTTTGTGGGTAGATCCACTACAAACCCTCACGAGACACAACTCGTCCACTAGGGTGACCTAGGGGTTTAAAG